AACAGAAGATGTGAATCTTTGTGAATTGATCATTGAAACGTTAGCTCACATGATTTGTTAAAGACAGCTGATTCATTTAGAAACAGAACATGTGAGTCTTTGTGAATTGATCATTGAAATGTTAGCTCAAATGATTTGTTAAAGACAGCTGATTTATTTAGAAATTGACCATGTGTGTCTTTGTGAATAGATCATTGAAACGTTGGCTCAAATGATTTTTTTAAAGACAGACGGTTTATTTTGAAGCGGATCATGTAAGTCTTTGTGAATGGATCATCGTAATGTTAGCTCAAATGATGTGTTAATGACAGCTGATTAATATAGGAATTGGCCTTGTGAGTCTTTGAGAATGGATCATTGAATCGTTGGCTCAAAAGATTTGTTAAAGACAGCTGATTCATTTAGAAATGGATCATTAAATCATTGGTTCAAATGATTTGTTAAAGCCAGCTGATTTATTAAGGAATGGACTAGGTGAGTATTTTTGAAGGGATCATTGATTCATTGGCTTAAATGATTTGTTAAACAGCTGATTCATTTAGAAACAGAACATGTGAGTCTTTGTGAATGGATAATTAAAACGTTAGCTCAAATGATTTGTTGAAGACAACCGATTCATTTAGAAACGGACCATGTGTGTCGTTGTGAATAGATCATTGAATCATTAGCTCAAATGATTTGTTAAAGACAGCTGATTTATTTAGAAATGGAGCATAAAACTCTTTCTAAATTGATCATTAAATCATTGGTTCAAATTAATTGTTAAAGACAGCTGATTTTTTTAGAAATGGACTTGGTGAGCATTTTTAAGGGATCACTGAATCATTGGCTTAAACGATTATTTAAAGAGAGCTGATTCATTTAAAAACTGACCATGTGAGTCTTTGTGAATAGATCGTTGAATCATTGGCTAAAATTATTAGTTAAAGACAGCCGATTCATTTACAAATGGAGCATGAAACTCTTTGTAAATGGAACTGTGAACCATTGTATAAAATGTTTTGTTAAAGTCAGCTGATTCATTTAGAAATGTCTACAGTATGTGAGTCTTTTTTTGAATGGATCAGTGAATCATTGGCTCAAACGATTTGTTCCGAAACTGATTCATGCATCAACGAAACACCACAGTTTTCATTTGCTTCAGCTTTGTTTGCGAATAGAAAATACAGACAATATTGTATTTAAAAATCTCCATATTTTACTTTGTTTTGACTTTTAACTTTGTTAAGCTTGTTGAACAGATGTATCAAATGAATATCATAGCACTCTCTTTCTTATCATACAGGGATATGCTTAACGTTTACTTTAAGATCATAACTGCATTCTAATAGATTTGCACTCAGTGCTTTAAGACTGTCAAGACATGGTTTTTAATTTTTGTTTATTTAGCAAAGTGGGTGTCTACTCGTTTGATCATTTCAGCTTACAAATCATTAAATTGACAAATATTTCAGATTTATACATGATAAATATCGCAACCACTGGATGTTTTAACTGTTGTTTAAGCACTATCACGCTGCTTTCAGAATATGTAAGATCTAGTTGTTTCATTACTGCCTCTTTAAATCCAGCCTGCTCTTCATTTAACCCCTCTTTTGTTTTCACGCTGGAATTAACCATCATTAACTGCTATTTTTAACCTACTATTCTTCTGCTTGAGTATTAGATTGGAAGTAAGAGCTAACTTGACTACAGATTTTGTAAAATATTTAAAGTTGTTCATGTAACTATTCAATAAACATCATTTATTATTAAATACAAATATGTATTTCATATAAATATTCATACAATTATCAAAGATGATTGGTTTTGTTGTTCTCTATTTGAAGTATAAATGGATAATATTCTCACTACAAAGGGATTTGCGGGGAAATAAAAGAAAATATGATTCCCTGAAAGCTCATTGTTAAATGTAATTTGGCTAAATGTGGTAAGTAGGACATAGTAAGCTCAATTGAAGAAAATGGATCAACAAATAGGGAGGCTAACAAAAGAATTGGTCCATTCAGAACTAGACTAATGCTTATGAAAGACCCTTTAGACAAACACAATATGAGTCATTCACACAGATGCTTTCCATGTCGACTCCCGCTGTCAACTTACATTACACCCTGCAATATGTGCACACTGCATATTTTAAACAGAAAAACAAAACAGCCACAGTCTAAGTGAAGATGTACACGCATTAGGCCAGTTTTATCCTCTTATCTGTTTGCTCTGTGTCTGACCCTGCATGTGTATGTGTGCTGAATCTCATGTCCCTGGAGAAGATAGTGAGACCAACACACACACATCAAACCACTGGAAAAACCAATCTGTCATTCCACAAGCCAATCCGGCCCAGGTGTTCACAGCAATTTAATGATCAGCTTTCAGTCAATACTGATCAAATATTTGGCTCTTACACTTAGACACTTTTGAACAATGCAACCGCGTTTGAACTATTATGGATATTTGGTTTTGTAGTTAGCAATTTTTAAAATGTGTATTATTTTGCAACGGTGAACATATTTCACTCTATTTGGCCTAAATAAAATGTTTTTATCTGTTTAAAAATAACAACTAAAATATTATATATATTAGAGCTGCTCAAAAACTGACATTATTTTCATTCACTGTGATATATACTGCGATATAAATGCAATTTCAGCAGATGACTTAAATAGCTTTAAAGAATTTATAATTTTAGATTAATTAGAATGATTCTGTACGGGAGCGTATCTGCATAAAATATCATTAAAAATTGACAAGCAAAGTTAAATGCAATGGAAAAGATGCCAAGTAACAAGGATGTATGTTTTTTTGGGGAGTCAAAAAGTATTCAGAAGCAGAAATTAAATAATGACTGTATTATAACAGTAGTAATAATAATAATAATACAATTAATATTTAAGCTACAAATGTTTAATTTATGTAATTTATGTGCCCAAATGACTTAAATTTGCTTCATTTTTTTACAGTTCTTAAAGCATGCAATTAATAAACTTTCACTCTAAGGTTAAAATCTGAAATTACTCCACTATGTTGGTAACTGTATCTAGTCAACTATAATCTCAACTACATTGCAGATCCCTGGGATGTGTTAACTGAGAGAAGATTTTTTTCAACACATTGCTAAACATAATAGTTTTAATAACTCATCTCTAATAACCAATTTATTTTATCATTGTTATGATGACAGTAAATGATATTTGAATAGATATTTTTCAAAACACTTCTATAAAGCTTAAAGTGACATTTAAAGGCTTAACTAGGTTAATTAGGTGAACTAGGCACGTTAGGTTAATTGGGCAAGTTATTGTATAGCGATGATTTGTTCTGTAGACAATCAAAAACATATGTAGCTTAAAGGGGCTAATAATTTTGTCCCTAAAATGGTATTTAAAAAAATTAAAAACTGCTTTTATTCTAGCCGAAATAAAACAAATAAGACTTTTTCCAGAAGAAAAAAATATTATCAGACATACTGTGAAAATGTTCTTGCTCTGTTAAACATCTTTTGGGAAATATTTAAAAAAGAATAGAAATTCAAAGGGGGCGAATAATTCTGACTTTAACTGTATATATATATATATATATATATATATATATATATATATATATATATATATATATATATATATATATATATATATATATATATATAGTTTTTAAATAATATTAAAGTGCCATATACATAAAGTAAGTTTTAAATAATTTGAATGATCAATCGTATTTTAAAGAAGAATAATTAATGTTAAAACACATTTTACTCTAGTTTAGCTCAATAAAAGGTGCTTTCTTAAAATATGAAATGGATTAATATAAAATATGTATTTCAGTTATTTTCCCGTTAAGCAGACGTTTTTTTTTTTGGTTTTTGTTTTTTCAAATATGAGTTATACATTAGGACAAAAACATTTCATTGTTTATTTAAAAAAAAAATTTTGTTTGTATGTTTTGAATAACACTAAAACTTACATTTATACTTTTTTACAAAATATATTTTTGTATAAATGAGAAAAATAGACCAAATATTTAAATATATGATTATTTTTTTCGCAAGTAGATTGCCATTTAACCACGGCATGCATTAATATTTAGATTATCTAAAGGCCTGCAATATCTAAAACAGAGACTTGATGTCGTAATATTACATCCTATCAACCATCCATTGCCTATTTCCCCACAATTACAAATCCTGCTGAATAAGCAATATATTCCCCTCAACGAAAGCACAACCGCCATCGATTCGATCTGTCTGCAGCCTAATAAACGCCATGCACTATATAGGCTATGCTACACATGACAGCTATACACATCTCAGGGATGCGCATTTTGTGCTCTCATTTTCCACTATCCATCCCAACATGAAGCACTCCGCCATTTAACGAGTCATCTGGAGATGAAGCAGCTGCATTCATGATAAAAGCACGGGCACTTCCTGACCAGATCAGTTCACCAGCTGGAGCTTTACGCAATGGAATATAATGCACTGGTGATCAATCACAGGGGTGAGGCTTTGCCAGAACGCATAAGCTAATTATTTGGACGCAGAAGGCAGAGCTATGCAAACATCCCCGCAATTCTAACGCCGTTACTCATCTAAATAGAAACCCGAGCTGAATAAAATAAAATCGCAATGGTCTGTCGACAGAACCCTGCGTTATCGCTCGAACGCTCGTGCGGAATAAGGGCGTTCCTGTGCTGTGCTGGATCATCTTTATGATCTTGCATCAAGCTGTTTTTAATATTTAGTCTGCCTTAAATAAATGATTTAAACATAATGCGAATGGAATAAAGGCTATTCGCGTCATGCTTCACTGATACACAATGCGCATCCGCAACATCCCGAGAGTAATGTCCTCCCCGTTCAGCACAATGGCAGGGAAACAACCAGCCGCATCCTGAGGGAACCGAACACTTCTGACACATGCAACGGGAAGGCACCTCAAATTAGCACGTACATACATGATTGAATATGATACCACCGTAGCCGAGGATTAACATTATGATCTTACTTTCGCCAACGACCGCCTTTAATCCAATTGGTGCCATGATGCTCCTGAGTGTTCGCCCGTGTGCTGTATCTTTTCCTCCCTCTCCTCCTCTTGCTCTCTCACTTTCTTTCTCTCTCTCTGCGCACTCACAGCTTCTGACTGCGGAGATTCGTCACTGCGTAAAACCCGCCCCTCCCGCGCCTCACATGCGACCGAGCGCGCGCGGCGATATTCTGTGTGCCGCGCGCTTGCCAAACGCTGAGGGCGCAGACGGAGAATCACGAGTGTATCCTTTATTCATTTCACGCTCATTCTTCATGCCATGATGAATGGAGGTTGTAAAATATCCTGCATCTGTTTTTAGTCTTTACATTGGTTGCGCCTACGTGACATTAAAGAGCAGGTTGCTTAATTAGAGAAGCAGGTAAATGTTTATTATTTTAGATTTAATTTTAATTTCACTATTAAACAAATGTGTCCAAATTGATTGATTAATTCCAATTAAATTATATTTTTAATTAAATTATCAAGGCAAGTATAAGTGTGACCAAATAAATAGCTTGCCTACAAAATAAAACAACAACTGTAGCAATATTATTGTTATGTATTCTACATTATTATTGTCATTATGAGCAGTGGTGTAATTACAATTAGTTGCAGCAAACTGGTAGCATCAGGTGTCCAAGAATATTCCCAAAATCTTTACACACATTGACCCAGAGACTGTTACATGCATGTCACTGATGAGAAGATGATTACTGTATGATGACCGAAATGACCTTAAACACCTAGCAGGCACAGGACGTCAACATGATCTCACATTGACGGTGTACCCCAAAGTCTTGGACGTTGCATTTTATCTGGAAATGAAAATCGGGTTAAGAACTTAAAGTCAGGCCAACGTCAATATCCAACGTCCAACCTTAAACCAACCAAATATCAACGTCTAATGATGTTACAGCTTGACATTGTGTGGACGTTACCATGATGTCTATCAGACGTTTGGTTTTGGTTGCCAATTTGATTAATAAATCTCAGTATTTGACGTAAATATGACGTTGGATTTTGGTCACTTTCTAACACAACCTAAAATCAACTAAATATCAACTTCATTTGACATTGTTATTGGACATCAAAAGATCATTGTCTTCAGACGCTGGCTAGGCATTGACTTTTGGTCACCTGAAATCCCAACCTAAATCTAACCTAATATTAACGTCTTATGACGTATGGCAAAAATAACATACTATTTATATGCAATTTATTTATGTTATTGGGTAAATATTATATTCACAAATGTAAACTTTCTTCCTCAGTACCTAATTCGCAGAATTTTTGTTGTGACTTAAATTGTTTAGTTATTACTTTACAAAATGTTTACAGCAAAAAAGTGTAAAAACTGTAAAAATTTATAAGGACTTTGAAAATATTATTTAATTGAATAATTGCCCTGTTTTTTATTATATTATTTTCATATTTTATAAAATAAATAAAAAATAACGTCTTAAGATGTTGTGTGCCTACTGGGCAATAACTAAATGCACTACAGAATGTTACGTTTACACACATCCACAAATGACATGTAAATCAACACTTCTTACAGCGTAATACTCATAATTCACTACTCTTGAGTACTTTTAAAAGGTTTACTTTTACTCCTACTTAATATATTTACAACAGATACATTAACTTTACAGTACTTGCACTACATTTTTAAGCAAGTAATGGTACTTTTACTTGAGTATGATTTTTCAGTATTTCTTCCACCACTAATCATGAGTGATCATTAAACTCCCTTCAAATACTCTACTAACAATAACATTTAATAAATTCATTTTAAAATACAGACAATTTACCCAGTTAAATCTTATCAAAGTACATTAAAAGGGAGGACTTCTGTAGTTTCTAATGCAGATAAAGAGAGCCTTTGTCATTTATTTTTAATGTAACGCTGTAAACCGTTTCTGGAAGGATATAGTAAGATATATTTTTTAAATGACAGAACTTAGTTATCATTTTACATTAAAGATGTTTTTATTATGAAAACAAATCCAACAAGTCTTGAATATATTGTTAATCTCTTTATTTTATTGGCAAAATTTCACTCGCATACACAAACAGAAATTTGCTACGTCATCTCCCACAATAACAATATTTTGGGTCACACTTTATTTTGATGGTCCATTTGTTAAATTAATTCACATTGCATCTACATGCCAACTAATTCTCATTAGATTATAAGACTGTTATGTTGGGGTTAGGGTTAGTGCAAAATTACATGTACTTGCAAAGTTTCTTATAGTCAGTTAAATGTATGTTTATTAGAGTATTAGTAGCAAACAGTCTACTAATACTCAAATACCTTCAAAATAAAGTGTTACCATTAATATTGATTCTTAAAATCATTGGATGTGGAAATGCTGAACATTATGCTTTGTGGATTACATTTTTTAAATACATTTTATTTGTTTATTTATTTTTACATTGTTACATTTGTTTTTTTATGTTCACCTTTTATATCGTGTACATGTATGTTCCTGATAGTTGTGGAATACGGGTGAGTGATTTTTATCGCTAGAAAGCTAGTGCAGCATTTAGTCCACATGAGGGCGGTAAACGTCTATCAAACATGATTCAATAGTTTTGACATTTGGTTATACATGACACATCATTTATTCATTCATTCATTTTCTTTTCGGCTTAGTCCCTTTATTAATCTGGGGTCACCACAGTGGAATGATCCACCAACTTATCCAGCAAATGTTATACGCAGCGCCAGCGGATGCCCTTCCAGCTGCAACTCAGTACTGGAAAACTCCCATACATTCAAAAACAAACCGTCACTGGGAAAACAACACGTTATTTTGTGTATAATTATTTACGATCTTATTGTTCAATATAAGTCATAAATCTTCTTTAGAAAGGTATGCACACAGGCGGATTTAGTGATTTTGGTGCCCTAAGCAATGCCATTGAGCCCAAAAGTTTTAAAATGCCTTTTGTGCTTTCATTTTTTTGTAAAATATTTTGCTGTTTTTTTTTTCTTCCATCATTCAATCTTTTTTCTACATTTTATCTTAATGCAAAAAAAAATAATAACATGTAAAGCACACAGTATGTTGTAAAACTTTTGAAGCAATTTGTTTTCTTAAGATTTAATTTTTCACAACTAAAAATAATACTAAATAATAATACTAAAACTAAATCTTTACTGATATGACTACTAGATTGCTCCAAGATTGAAGTCGCAGATGTTATAATTACGTTTAAATTAAAAATGTTAGACCATTAATTTACAAAATATAATAGAAAACAATGTTATATATAATTTTTAGGTATCATTTATACTTCTAGGTATTTATTTCGGGGCCCTCATGCAGATTTCATGGGGCCTTAAGCAGCCACTTATCCTTGTTTATTGATTAAATCCACCCCTGCATATAGGTAAACATAAGTTTACTTTACTAAAATAATATAAAATACAAAGATGTCATTTGTAAATTCTATTATTTCAGCCAAACTATTTCAGGTTTTTATAAAATAGAAAAATAGATGGCTAGATGGTTACATAACAAGTTTGTATTTTAACATAATATTGTGCAATAATTACAATTATTAATAATATTAATATACTAATATATTTTACAATTAAAGTCTAATCCATTTCTAAATCTGTTTCACCTAAACTGCGGTTTATTTATTTATTTTTTTCTTCATTCATAAAAAATCCTCATGATACTTTATTTAATTAAATACTTGAATGTTTAACATTTTAAACTATATTAAGTGGCAAACTATAAAATAAAATGCAGTATTCAATTATAATATTTCAAACTGTTTATACAATTATTTTGTGGCTGTTATTAGTTATAATATTAGTTATATTAGTTATGATTAGTATAATTATTATTATTATTAACAGCTGTGCCAAACTACAAAGTAATATTTAGTTTCATTATATGTTTGTTTACATATATTTATTCGTAATTTTGCATTATAAAGTATAATTAGGCGACACAGTGGCGCAGTAGGTAGTCTTGTTGCCTCACAGCAAGAAGGTCGATGGTTCGTGCCTCTGCTGGGTCAGGTGGCGTTTCTGTGTGGAGTTTGCCTGTTCTCCCTGCGTTCTCGTGGGTTTCCTTTGGGTGCTCCGGTTTCCCCCACAGTCCAACAACATGCGGTAAAGGTGAATTGGGTAGGATAAACTGTCCGTAGTGTGTAAATGAGAGTGTATGGGTGTTTCCCAGAGATGGGTTGCAGCTGGAAGGGCATCCACTGCGTAAAACATGTCCTGTATAAGTTGACAGTTCATTCATCTGTGGTGACTCCTGATTAATAATGGGACTAAGTCAAAAAGAAAATGAATGAATGAATGAATTAAGTATAATTTATTGTTGTTATCACTGTTATTATTACAAAATATTGTATTTAGTAATATTTTTAACAACATTTTTTGTTAAATTTTCCCTGTCATTTACTTGACATGAAAAATGGAAGCCTTAAATATTTATTTATTTATTTATTTATTTATTTATTTATTTATTTATTCATTCATTCATTCATAAAAAAATCTCATCATATTTTATTTCATTAAATACTTTATTATTTAACATTTTAAACTATATTAAGTGGCAAACAATAAAAATAAATACATATATTAAACGTTAATATTAAATAAAATAATATAAATAAACAAATATTTATAGACATAAAGAGTGGAAGTCTCAAATAATTTATATTCCTATTAAGTAGTTAGGACTTTCGAAAGAAAATATAAAGTTTGAAAAACAGTTTTAAAGTTAAAAATAATATGAGCTGTAGAACTAATCATATTAAACAGATTGAATAGTCATTTTGATACCAGAATGTCAGTTATATATTTAATAAATAAACAAACAAACAACCCAAAAAAGTATAATAAAGCTATATTGTATGAATTCCCTGATCCATAGAGAGGGCAACAGTGGGTTTGTTGTAAGGTTGGGTGTGTCCGCCTCTTCAAGCCACGCCCTCTGAATGTCGCTTATTTGACTGAACGAGTTTAAATGATTGTGGATTCTCCCAGAGGGCGTTACGCACGCAGTCAGTGAAGCGACGTCAACGCGAAATGAACGCAAAGCTGTAAAGTGAACAGGGATGATTTATTTGGCAGACACGTTTTTGTAGTGTTTTCTTGAGTTTAAGATTCAAAGGAACTTTCCTCCGTATCCGTGGCTGTCATTTAAATCGCCATCATGGGTGACGTGATTTCTACCAATCTGGACGATGCCAAGCGGGAGATGATTACAGGTAAAATGCGTTTGTCTTTGTTTTAAACAGTTGGTAGAGTTTTGTATTTTAGAGTTGTTATACTTCATTAGATGTTTTAGTAAACGGTGGAACACCGAACCCAAAATATTAAGGTATTTTAGCAGATGCGTGTAACTTACTCTAAAGATACGTGGGACAGAACGCGAGACTCTAGAGGCGTTTTCACAAGAAAAATACACTAAAATAAAATGTCCTGTCATGATTTATGAGTCAGCCAATGTCTATATGTCTAACTTTTTAAAATGTCCCACGTGGAAGAAAAAAGAAATAAAGTAAGTCACATAGGTTTTTACAAGTGCACAAAGGTGAGTAAATCATGAAAGAATTTTGTTAACCACAGCGTGTGTACACTAACCAACACGTTTAAAATAACCCCGACCGCCCAGTCCATACTGGTTTACATTCCTTTTTGAGGAAATGGTGACTAATATTTGTCTCTTTAAACAAACCTAAGTTACTAAGAGTCATTTAAATGTTCCTTTTAAAAGTAGTTTTGTGGATGTAGATGTAATTTCTGCCATAACTCTACTTAATAAAAAAAAATAAAAAAAAAAATATATATATATATATATATATATATATATATATATATATATATATATATATATATATATCATCAAAACGTCATGACAACATGTGTTTTTGTTACTTTTACTTTATATTAATGGTAATATGATTTCAAATGAAATGGATGTTTTTAGGTTTTTTAACTGATGCAAGTTGAAATTACTAGTACATTTATTTTGATTCAACTTAATTCAAGGCAACAAGTATTTATTTTACAGTGTAATAATGTTAAGACTATGCATTTTGATCTTGTCCAGTATTTTGGGCTGCTATTTTAGTTCCTCTGCTTGGTTTGGAGAACTAATAATGTCCTGCAGAGACACACTTCCATAACCATATATTAGTTCCTCTCTCTCAAGCGTGACAGAAATAATCACGTTATTAAAAAGACGCATGCTTTCCTCATTAAAAGGGTTTTATTCTTTGAAGTGTGCAGTACCGCAATTAAGTTTACAGCACATTTGCTTAAGGAGTTTTCCTAGAAACTTCCATAAATATTTCATAGTTTTCCTGCGCCAACCAGACCGACACGTGGGAAATGAAATGTTAGCAGTCCATAATTTGTGACGTCATTGGTGGTTGCTGTGTTTTGGAGCTTCGTCTCGTTTTCCCTCAAGCTAATCATAGAAATTATTTCTGTATGATATGGACATTGCCTAACTGTTCTTTAAAACCATTTTCAGTTATGTAAAAATTTCTGAGAGAAATAACATTGAATTAAAAATGGTTTAAGATAATTTCCGAAGTCATTATGAGAAAACAAAAGCTCTTCTAGCTATGACTGGAAAGTTTGGAATTTGGATTACTACAACTTTACACACACACACACACACACACACACACACACACACACACACACACACACACAGAGAGACAACTGTGTGTTAGAACAAGTCAGGACTAGTTAACAAACAACTTTAGGTTTCATTGTGTGTGTGTGTTTGAACTACCTGTCTGGATCTTTCATTGATGACGGTCACTTGATGAGCATCTGCTTCGTGAAATAATTGTCCCATTTAGAGCTCATTTCTGTGGAATGTTTCTGTGAGATCAGTGCAAGGTGAATCTAATGCAGATGCTTGTGCTTTCCTAATAAAATGCTGACTCTGCCCATTTAAAATGAACCGTGTGGGGAGATGTTTGGTCTTCAGAAGTGTAAGCCACCCTCATAGACACCCTCCATGAAGCCTGTAGAAGTTATGAAGATGTCTGCTGTTGATGGACATAAGGTCAAGAGGTTGACGGGAGGTTTTTGGACACAGGAAATTCCTTTCGGGATCTTTAGACCTCCCTCGTGAACTATTTGAGTGTGTTTTCTGAGAGAGTGAGCGCAAGTGTGAGCATGTCTTTGAGTAATGGGGAGGATTGTCTTAAGGTGTCATCAGGCCCTCATACTTTTCTGTCTGTCTGTCTGTCTGTCTGTCTCTTGTCTTTCATTCTCTCGCTCTGATTTATGGATAGTTCATCTGCTGACTGTGCATGTGAGAGGGGATGTGTGTCAGCTTTTGATCTTCATGGTTCCCCTCTTGCAATGATTAATGCATTTGACTTCTAGATCCAACAATTGGGGGATGTTTGCCTGACCTAATTGGAAGACAAATGCATCTTTTGGCCATTTGTTGAATCTACGATGAAAATTGGGGGCCTGAAAATGCAAACATTTAAAAGTGGAATCACGTTGTTAATTGCACAATTTAGAGAAAACTGATGCATGCACATGTTTAGTCTATAGGCATGTATATGTGAGTACTTGACAATCAAAACAACATAGACGTGTGCTGTGTTTCTTTATTAAGTCACATCACCAACTACTGACCTGGCATGCATAATGCAGCTGTTTTAGTCATTTTTGAGGGGATGCACTGATATGATATGTTTGTTTTTTCCTGATACAAAACCAGTTTTAACAAATGACTTTTTTCCCAATTGCTATACTATTCAGACATTTTGCATCCTTGGAATTATAAGGTTCTATATGTGTTCTGAATGATAATAACACATTGAGCTTCAACGTTTTTGCATTCCATAGCAAACAATATGTGTTACATTTGTTTATTAAATAAAAAGTCTTAAAATGTAAACAACTTATAAAATAAACATCCCGTAATGTAAATAAGTTGTCATTTAATAAGAATGTTGAACTCAATTTTGACAAAAATGTCTGATAGCACCTTATATTTTCAAGGTGACGATTTGTACACTAAAAATGCAGAGTTTCACACAATACCTTCTTGTTGTCCCAACACAAATCAATTAAGGCCCAGTTTCACAAACAGGGCTTAGATTAAGCCAGGACTAGACCTTAGTTAAATTAGGCTATTTAAGCCACATTTATAAAAATGGCCTCAGAAAAATATACTACTGGTGTGCACCTGGTGATAAAATATGACACTGACATATTTTAAGACATCTCACCGCAAGTTATTTTGAGTTCATACAGCTCAAACATGCAATTTAATCTTGACTAGCCTTAAACCTTGTTTGTGAAACCGGGGGTAAGTTAGCTTTAATAGTTTTTTACAAATTTAAGCGGATTGAACTTGAAACTATTAAAATGTCCCGAAAAAACCTTAATAATTGTTGTTTTAACTCATTTTAAACATTTTGGGGTTTAAAAAAACGTGTTTTTGCTTTAAAATGTGGATATTTGAACTACAAACTAAAACTTTATAAGATTTTATTTTTTAATTTTTTTATGAATTGTATAAATTCTGTATAAATACAGCTATTAAATACTGCAATTAAAATTCTGTAGCTCCTGATCAACTATAATTCAAACTCAACATTGCATATCTTGCGATGTGACTATTTTGAATGTGCACATTGCGATATCAATGCTGGAACAATATATTGTTTAGCCCTGTACTATATTATAAAAAAAAAATAAATTTCAAATGAATCTAGACTGTAAAAGATGCTGGGTTCCACACAATCGATTTGTACTGGGACAACATGAAGGAATTAACTTAACTTTTACAACTTTAAGTGGATTTAACATAATTAAGTTGTCCCCAAAAAACTCACGAATTGAGTTGTTTCAGCTCATTTTAAATTAGAAGTTTAAGCAAACTGCAAACATTTTGTTGAGTGTCTGCTTATTAGTTTGTAATTGTTTTGAATTATTTTAAGGACAAGATTTTCGTCCAAGTAGACATCTGACCTACTAACCTTGCTTGACCCTTCTTAAATTTAGGTTGTTAATTCATTAGATGCCACAGACATACAATTTTGTTGATCTTTGTACAGAGGAAATATAATCAATAAAGAAAAAAAAAGATAACATATTTTTTAAATTATTTTTTTTTAGACTCACTACATAGCTGTACTTGTTAGGGTAATAAATTATTAATTAATTTGTTTATTATTATTATTATTATTATTATTATTTTATTATTATTATTATTATTATTATCAGTCCATTAATGTAGATTTTCCACAAACACACTCTTTAGGCCTCAGTTTTAAAACACCAAATCTAAAGCATTCTGATTGAAACGTGTCTTCTTAAGATGTGACGAGTGACGAGATGTGCAGTGTTTACAGTGGCATTACATTTCAAGGTTTACGTAGCCGCTTTCCAGTGAATTCGACATCAGCGTCTGTTACATCTGTGCTGATTGTCTTTGAAATACTTTCTGCAAATATACAAGTGAACGAACACAGTAGAATAGTCAACACGAAGCCAAAGCAAACTGAGTCTACAAGTTATTCTAGTTTAATACAATAGTGGAGAACGGTCTGCCTTGACAGACTCAGCGGCTGCTGCGTTCATGCAAATACAACAACATGCTTTTCATGTTCAAATGTCCTGTAACTAGAAGCTCCTAATCTGATGAAGCACTTAAGAAATGAGGTGTAAGTGGAGAGATTCCTTCCTGTGCAGAGTGCAGACCAAGGCTATAGTACAGTAAACCAAAATACTCAGAAGGCCATCCGTATTTTCAGGTGCACTGCTCTAAATTCAGCTGACATCAGATGTGGCCTTCTTGCCTTTCCGTCCCTGTCAGGTTGTTCCTTCCTGTTCCCATGGAAGAAAACATCTTTCACATAGACTACAGTACTGCGCCAACTTTCATCCCAGTGCTGAGCTCGTGTTAATGTTAAATGCCAGAGATATCATTTGTTGTAAAACTAACTAGACCGAGATGCTTTGAATGTGGCATTCAAATCTAATTGCCTCTAATCATGCGTCACTTTTTCCATTTATCGGGCTCTTTATATAAGCAAATTCCTCTTCATGGCACCATCTTCTTTTCATAAAGCTTTGATAAGCCTGCAGGCTCTGGTCTTTTTCATTTTTAATGTGTATGTTCATACAGCGTGTTTGTATGTTTCCACACTTGACTGTTTTTGCAACTCTCTCCCTTTATCAAGAAATCCCTTTTATTGTTGGACTTTCTTTGTGTTGTAACCCTATTGAATTTCTGGAAAGAGAAATGTTCAGTGTTTGCACTGAGAAAATCTATTTCCACATGACCGTTATGTTGAAATGATGTACGTGAGGGTTGTTCAATTTGGGTGATTATTTTGACTATTATAACTGTAATTTTGCAGTTATGTCTTAAATATATATATATATATATATATATATATATATATATATATATATATATATATATATATATATATATATATATATATTAATAAAAATAATATATATTAATAAAAATAATATATATTAATAAAAATAATATATATATATATATATATATATATATATATATATATATATATAATAAATTGACAAAATATATACAGTAATTAATTGTAATGTATAAAATATACATGAATATTACGTATTAATTGTGTGTGTGTGTGTGTGTGTGTGTGTGTGTGTATATATATATATATATATAAATATATAAATATATAAATACATATATATATATATATATATATATATATATATATATATATATATATATTATTTTTATTAATATATATTATTTTTATTAATATATATTAATAATGAATGTATAATATTGTTTAAATATTTGTATATTTTAATAGATTTATTTGGTGCAATATATTTTTCATTTTAAAATACTTAAAATACTTGTCTTCAGAAATTCTATAAGCCGTATAGGGCTGGGATAAAAAAAAAAAAAGATTACTATTTTCTTTTCTTTTTCACATATAGTCAAGCTAAAGTGTATCTGTGATCAGATACAAGTAACAGTCTCTTATGCTCTAATCACTTTGTACTTCTATTCAAAACCATATTTCCACAATTGAAAGAAATATTCTGGCATGGCATTGTTTGATTTAGATTAATTGATCAAATCAATGATCGTTTATTATATACAGTCTTTAATCCTTTAACTGCCAGCTCAACTGGTTGACTATATTTTGACTGTTTTAAATAATGACTATTAAAGTCATTTAAAGAATGATAGTTTTAAATAATGGTTTACACACAGCATTGTTGGTTTACAAAAAATCTAACCAAGATAAGCCTGTTGCACTATAACAATAGATTTTGCTTTTATTGTTAAAAAAAAGAAATAGAAAAAAAACTTGTTAAATGAGAATCTGAGATATGTTATGGCATACTTCAAAAAATAAAGATGATTTAGTTTTTAATGATTGTTTTTAAATAAATTGGTCTTACACTTCATATTGTCAGATTTTATATAGTATATGTGTTAATTCCGGTACACTTACCTTAAACTGATACATTTACATTTAGTCATTTAGCAGACGCTTTCAACCATTTGGTTTATATTATAGAAATTATGGAATTGAAAAAATGCATGGAATGTGTTAATTAGTGACAGGACATTAGAAAAAATTCTTGATGGTGCAAAGGGTTAAAGATTTTTTTTTACCTATTTTTTTTTAACCTGTGTCCATTCATTGTATGCATCCACACACAGTCTAATCTTCACCACAATGGTAAACCTACACATTTTAGCATAGGGGAAATCCCAACATTGGAAGCCATGAATTAGTCTTTAATGTTGTACTTGATAAACCAGTGCAAAAACACGCACAATAACACTTAATGCCGGTTTAAGTTGACCAATAAAAAAAAAGTTGACTCAACTTTTTTTTTTTAATCTCATTTACTCGCCCTTCTCATGTTCAGACCCAGTTTAACTTTGAAAATCAAATAAAAGTTCAGGGGTAAATAATGTATTGGTGCTCTTTGGGTAAGGATTCATAAAGTAAAACTTTTCAATATACTGAACTGAGTCTTGTGAACATAGTGTTCAAATTAACTCCAGACACTTCTATACTTCGTTACCCTGGTGAGAATTATAGAATTATTACCCTAGACTTATAAGGTTCTATCTGACATTTTTTTTGTCAAAAATTGAGGTATTGACATTCTTATTAAATGACAGCTTATTTACATGATGGGATGTTTTTTATAAGTTGTTTACATTAAGACTTTTTATTTTAAAAAAACAAAATGTTACACACATACTGTTTGGTATATCGAATGCAAAAACTTTGAAGCTCAATATCTCTAAATCATTCAGAACGCAGATAGAACCTTATAATTCCAAGGTGACGAATTGTTTGCCCAAACGCGTAGGTGCAGTTTTATGGAATAACCATGTTAATAATTGTAATTTATTTCAGATATACTGGTGTAGAACGCTGAGCAAATGTAATTTATTACAGATTTATATCTACATAATAATATTTTTTAAAAGCTTTTTTCGAGTGCCTTGGACTTCTTTTTTGAGTTTCTTTCTTCTGTTTAACAAAAAGTTTATTTAGGATTTTTTATTTTTTTCACTTTTATGAAAGTGTATGGATGCCACTGCAACCAGCATTCTTCAAAATGTCTTATTTTGAGTTCAATACAAGAAAGGAACTTGAATAGGTTGTTAAACCACATGAGAAAAGTAGATGTAGTTTTCATTTCATGGGTGAACTATCCCTTTATGTCTAGCTTTAATCATTTCAAATTTTGAGTACATGCAGCTTGTTTCTTTCAGTTCAAGGAAGTTTCATTTCAAAGTGATTTTATTAAATTAACTGCACTGTTCTTTATTTATTGTATATTCTACTCTGAAGCATTCAAACAATGCAATATTAAAATCACAAAAGACTGACATTTTTGTTATCGCCGTCCCCTCCCACTTCCAATTTTTTTTTTAAAATCACCAATGCACGCACACACACACACACACACACACACACACACACACACACACACACACACACACACACACACACACACACACACACACACACACACACACACACACACACACACACACACAGGCCCATGATGTGCATTTGGCAGCAGACCGTAACTTGTATTTGACACTTAAGGTCTAGTCAGCGAAAATCTTGGATCAAATTACAGCTGTGTTTTGTTTGGTGTTGTAGGAAGCCAGGATTCTTCTGTCTGTGTGTTTGTATCTTTATCTATTGTTGTGTCTTTTCGCTATTTGGAAAAATTCACAACTAAAAGACTAAAACTAAATCAATATGTGTGTAATGAATTTGCAATTTAATTAACGTTGCACTATGTAGCTGTAAAGTAATCATTTCTTTCCTATGCCGTGGTTCTGGTTGAACACTGACAATCTCATGTTTCTGTTCCCACCCAGCCCACACCAGTAAAGTGATGGCCGAGTTTGGGAGGTTTTATGAGCAGCAGTACGCTGTGGCTTTATTCAACAGCGTGCGCTTTGAAATTGAAGGAGGAGGGAGTATGCAGACACAACTACTACACAGAAAGGTAAAGTCTCCAATGCTTTCCTCAATTTCATAAACCTATGCAATGATGTAATCTCAGAGCGATTGTGGAAAGCATGTCAATATTCATGAAGTAGGGCTGAAAGAAATGTCCAGCATATTGTCCAATCCACGTTAAAAATATGATTAGAAATGAGCCTTCCTGCTTTTTCTTTTGTTTTTTTATTGTTTTGTGGTTTCCCTCCTCATTTTGAGGCTTTCTGTGGTCGTGCTTATCGGCATGGAGTTGGATAAGAGGAAGTGGAGCAGATTTCACACAAGTTAAATACCCGCAACAAAGGCCTGAATGGCAAATACACACACGCATACACATAAAAGAATCAAAGGATCTTTCCAATACCCCTTTTCCACCAATATTATTCTGCTGCAGCTTGTGCAAGCCATTTCCCCTGAGCTGAAATTCAACTTATGACAAGTCTACTTGCCCACAAATTAACTTTGAGCCCTACTATTTTTTTATATATAAATAACTAGTTACTTTAAAATGGGGAAAAAAGCTGAACTGTCGCACACCATTACACACAGCTTGTTAGTTCAATATAGAAATTGACCAATATTCAGATTTTTTTTATTTGCGTTTAAAAAACAACTTATAAAGCCTCTGTATAAATTATAGAACTAATAGCAAGCAATTAAATCCTTAAGTTGCATGTTCAGGAAGCCACTAATAAATGAAAAAAAAAAACAGTTTAATGTTTACCTGAACCATGACTACAATTGCATCATCATACAGCTGCGATATATATATATATATATATATATATATATATATATATATATATATATATATATATATATATATATATATATATATATATATAATATAATTTCTTTATTTTTTTTGTAGATTTTGGAAGTTCTAGAACCGTCTATACAATTGTATTTTTTTTTTTCAAGAAATGCCCGAGTTTTGCGTAAAATGTTATAGTGTATATGCCAGACCTATATGTGGAGCTGTAAACAAACAAAAACAGAGCTGAAGGATACACTATAATTGCAGAAGAATACATCGAACATGTACTTGAATTCCTCCTTCAGCTCGATGAATACAGATATAAGCAGGACACCATAGTGAATTTAACAATATTTGATGTGTGTAGTTGTTAATGCATCTCTACTGGTTGCCTAGCTAATACCGCAAATCAGGTTTTATTGTAATAGTGCTAATAAACAGCAGTGCAAACACAGTTCTGTAATCTGTCATTAGTTATTAATTGCTGGGCTTTTCCTCCCCCTGGTCAAATGGTATGATGACATCATTGTTTCCAAAGAGGAGCATTTTTGCTAGGGGTGTCCATATTAATTGGTTTTTCGAAACACCACAATGCGGATGTGGACAGTTCTGTATTCAGTTCAGTAATAGATCATAATCGGTTAGTTCGTACTGACGTCATTTATCACCTATGCGTGATGTCATGGTAGAATACTATTGCGAAGGAGGCGAGAACGAGTAAATAAAACGCACCTACTACTTAAAAAGCAGATAATTGAGTTTGTGGACAGTCTTTCACTGACACTGCAGAAAGTACTGCACGAGCTGCTATTTAACTACTAGGGAGAAATGCTTAAAAAATCCATCTCTGTCTCTCTCTTGCTTTGGACATTTGACCCGTTGGCATGTTTGTGAGGTAACTTTTCCTTTCCTTTTGGCTGTTAAAGTGATACTTGTAGATCCAGACATGAGAGTGCCTGTGGTGCGAGTTTTCTCCACTGTGTCTATTACAGATTGCCTGTGATAACCGCGTATTATATGCATATAGACTGTGACCGCGGCTGTTCTTCTAGTAACACTCATCGGTTTCATTTATAGAACCAATCGCAGCCCTTTCTGTTAAGCGGGTGAAGACTATGCCAATCGTACTAGTTTAAGAACTCGCTTGACAGCGCCCAAAAAGCAAGCGGGAGAATATTAACATTAGTTTTTTTGCCATAAATACTCGTGCTGTCTTCTGTGCATGTATTGGAGTTTTGTCTAAAACATTCAAAAAGACAAATAAAAGTAAAGGTACAGTTCATATATCTGCTTGTGTTAAAGGACAAAATTGTATTACAAATAAAATATAAATATTAATATATTTATAGATTTTAATAAAAAAAAAATTCTTGTATTGTAAAGAAAAAATCTAATTGTGGTTAAAAAAACATCGGCAATGCACTATGATGCACCGAGATATCGAATTGAACCAAATCGATGGCATGATAATCATAACCGAACAGTGAGAACAGTGTAGGTTCACATCCCTACTTTTTGCCCTATGCAATAATGGGTGGCATTTTGAGGTTTTTTACTCTGTTACTTGTTATTCAAAAAGTTAGTATCGGGGCACCAACAATGGTAGTTTTGTGTGGACAGAAGGCAGAAAGACATTAAACTTTTGTGGATTTAAATTTGTTGCCGTGTGGATGGGGCCTAAAACCAAACCTTTGTTTTGTGTGCTGTTGCATCTCTCTTATTAACTATAACTCTTTCCTATCCTTCTTAAAGGGATAGTTTACCCAAAAATAAAATAATACTCCCCATTCACTCGCACTGAAGTGGTTCTTTATCTGTTAAACACAAAAGTAGATATTTTGAAGTATGTTAGAAACCTCTGACTATTTATTTTTATAGTTGACAAAACAAGTACTAATGATCAAATGTTAAGTCAGTGGTTCTAAAATTAAAAAGAAACGTTTTCAATTAAAGTTATTTTGTGTTCAACTGGAAAAAAAGAAACTCAAACAGGATTGTGACAAGTGAAGTTTGAGTAAATGATGACAGAATTTTCAGTTTTGAGTGAACTATCCCTTTAAATTGATTATAATGGCAATGATCTATGTTTGTCCAAACTTTCTTGTTGCTAAATGACATCCCTTTGTATAAATGATATCCCCCTGGGATTTTGAAATGTAGAGCTTCTGGAGTGAAACAGTTAGTCGAAGGAGCTGAAAACCAGCATTTCTGAAAAAAAAAAAGCATAGAATCAGAAACCTGCAAAATGTTGGTCAAAACCATTAGATTGCATTTGGCTTAAGAGAAGAAAATGAGTTCCATGATTATCTCTGTTATGTCCGTAACTGTTTATAAAGTAAAAAAAAACAAAAAAAACATCAACCTTCAATTTTGGACATTGTTTTCTTTAATCTTTGGTTTCAAAATCTCACAATTACCAATTGTCCTTGATCTTAAATTGGTCACAGTAGTCAGTTGGTCACAACTTATTGCAGATCTGGAATAAAAGGTGTACTTTTTTAAGTTCTTTCATTGCTATGAGCCAAGACAGCTGGACTTGAAAGTATCCATCCGTATTTATTTGTATTTAGTTGCAGAGATTAAACGATTACCTGTTCAAAGGCATGTGTGTTCACCAGCAGTAAATTCAGCATCCATTACCCGAAAGCTGTGGTCATGATTGTAGACATAACACAAGCTTGAATGTCTTTTATGTCGCATTTGCTCCACCCATTTCTTATTTTAGGCTGAATAACTCAGATCTGTGTTATATAAACATGGTTGAAGCTGGCCCTTTATATTTTTCCAGACTGTTTGGAGTGTTTGACGTTGGTCCTCTAAACATGATTCATTGTTTTGTTAAGTCATGCTTTCATCTAGAAAAATTTAGATTCGCATTCATTCAAAACATGTTTGTTCTCACCGCAGGATCCTCTAAAGAACAAATCCATCTTCTCTGGAGGTCTGTTTCAGTATCTGGAAGAGAGCAAGAAATGGAGAAGCCGCTTTTTGTATGTGAGCGACTCTTACAACATCAGCTTGTTTGAGAGCAAAGCGGTAAGTGCAAACCACTTACTTACTTCAGTAAATGGATTATTAGTTGTTGTTTTTGTTTTTTGTTTTTTCGTGTTTACCACAAGCACGCCCAGGTTGGATAATTAAACGTAAACACAACAAAAATGATCAGAATGTTAGTCTATTGTTACTGGACTTCATTTGATTCTAAGGCTTGTTGCTGTTAGTGGATGTGCACGTCATTTCCCCCACTGCTGATTTTTAGCTGGCTGTTCTTTTTCGTTTGTTTTTCTGTAGGCACATGATCGTGGTCTCCACTCCAAAGGGGTCATTAACTGTGCTGGTTACAGAGCCCTGACCTCTATGGAAGAATACCTGGAGCTTCTCAATAGCAGCCTGAGTGGTGAGATGCACATTGAAATTATTTATATGCAAGTAAAGGCCCTTGCACACCGTTGCACACTCGCGTTTTCCGTTGACGTTTAATGGCTCGTGACTAAATAAAGGGCGCAAATGGGATCATGCACACCAACGCGCCAAACGCCAGGCGCAAAAGCGTCATTTAAAAAAAAAAAAAACGCCTCTTCTCGTTTTTGTTTTGCAGCTTCAAAACATTTTCCACCAATCAGATTGGCACTTTTGGTCATGTGCACAAAGCTGCTGAAGTTACAGTAAACAGCACTTGGAGGCGCTTAATCACAAAACTGTCAATGCGACCGCACATTGAAGAAGATGCCAAGAGGTGATATGAACGGAGCTACTTATTGTTCTGGTAAACAATAATCACTTCTTCATCACTAGAGCTGGAGCTGCTGCTTGAACCATCCATAACAACAAGCGTGTCTACTTTGTCTTCGTCTTCTGTGTTACAAGTGGGTGTCAAAAGCTTTAAGTTAAGTAGTGCCATCTAACGTCAAAAAGTAATTTTTGCATACTCTTTTGCTTGGCGCCAGTGAAAATCGCTTGGGTTTGAATCCGGAAAAACGTCTTGAAAAACGCTGCCGATAAATGCAAGCGCAAAGTGTCCTGGTGTGTAGGAGCCTTAAGGTTGAGTATAAAATACTATTGAAGTCCTAAAAGTATATAAAAGTGCCAGTAGGGTTTACAGATGACAATGGGAATCCAAATAGTTTATGTAATAATGGCTTTTCTTAATGCTTTTTATAAATAAATAATTCCCGGAACAAAACCAGGAAATAAAAGTTACAGTGACTGACGTCCACCACACAATTTTAGTTTTCCTGGAACGTGATTTCCTTAAACGCAAAATAAGAGCATCACATTTCTGAACTGTCTTTAATTATATTGTGTCATGTAACGTTGTAGGTCAGTCATGGATAATAAAAACATGTAGCTACAAACATAAATCGCATAAATAATTACTATTCAGTTCATTTCACTATTACGTGCCAAGTGGAAAAAAAACAATTAAACGACACAGAGCCCACAGTTACCTTTTCTGTCATGTTTTCTGGCTAACTTGATCGCTTTGCTTTTGTCTCCTGCTATCCTGATCCATTCACGCAGTTTCATATTTTCAAGATCTCTTTTGATCAGGCTCATTATTTGATTAACTCGTTTTAAAAAATAAAAATATGTGTGACTGCCTCTTTGCCATTTTTAAAATACAAATAATATATAGTTTGGCCATTATGCCATTATTTTGCTCATTGTGCACGAAACAAATCACCAACCAATGAGAGTGATTGTAAACATAACCAAGCCTATTGGCTGAAAATATTATTGAGGGCCAATAGTTAAGCGTGACTTTCACCAAGCACAAGTTAATGCTGGATCTATTCAAATAAATTCTGGAACGCAAAAAACAAATATCTGACATTTTCCGGAACAGGATTTGGCAAAATCCGTTTTAAATTAAGCTCAAATTAGTTAATATGGTGGTGTGGTTATTATTAATATAATGTATAATACACTTTTTTTTTTTACTAATTAACAAAGAAATATTTAGCAATTTCATTTTAATTTAGAATCATACCAAAAGGAAAACAAATCATAAATTTGTAAAAGTATCAAACCAAAATTGTAAATGTGCATAATTACCAAAACTAAATTGGAAAAAAAATTAAAATATTAAGACAATCTAGAGATGTATCTAGTAGTATTTTTTGTAAGCATGACCTGCCAATTTAAATTTTCTTTGTAAGAACCGCATATAAAATAGTTTTTATTATTATTATTTTTTTTTAAATCTGGTCCTTGGCCTGTGCATCTTTAATAGAAATTAATTAATTATTATAAAAAGTGTCTCATTGACTAAGTTTACATCGACTTCAGTAATTGGATTATTTGCCTTAATCTGAAGAAGACCATAATACAAGTTGTTTTTTGAATGTTCCTTTCATCATCCCATTTAACGTGTTATAGCACACAATTCGATTAACGTCATTGCATCACCATGCTATCCACGTTTCCTCCAGAGTTTCATGCGATTTTGAGTTTCATCTTTAATTTGTTGACTCTAACGGCAGACACTTTCACTTTCATTCAGAAACATTTCACGCATACCCCCTTGACAAACAAGATATTGGATGCGAGTATTAACAAGTGTAAAGAGTTTTAATGGAATTTGATAGCATATGCTAGATGGGAAAAAAAGTTCAGCATTTCATGATGCAGGTGTCTGTGATCCTTCACTTACTCAGTAAGTGCAGAGAATAGTGTCAAACCACATGTCTTAATTCCATTTCTGTTTAGTTCCATTATGACTTTAGTCAGATTAAGGTATTAAAAAATGCTGTTCACATTGTATTAAAACGGGATTACTGATGTCCAAAGTAAACATACTAATTTTTTCAAAAATAGATGCAAGAATGAATAGATGCATGAAAAGATTGCTAGACAAATGGATGATTCATAGATTGATGGGTGGATTCATTCACGGATGGATGGATGAATTTATTCAATCATGTATTCATTTAAAACTACTAATTTATAATTTTATAATTAATTACTCGCAAAATAATATGATAATGGACAGGCAAATTGTATTCTCTGTACATTCTGTAAACAACGTTATTTAGTCCAGTGTTTATAAACCACATTCCTGGAGGACCACCAACACGGTTTTCATTGTCTCCTTTGTCTGTCACACCCATTACAGGTCTTTCAGTCTCTGCTAATGATCTGATGATCTGAGTCCGTTGTATTTAGTTAAAGAGACCCAGAAAATGTGCAGCTGGTGGTCCTCCAGGAATGTTGTTGAGAAACACGTGATATAGCCCATTCAGTCAAATCAGTGTAATTTCAAATAAGTAATGTTCGTCTTTTTGTCTTGTGTGATGTGTTGTTTTAGATATAAAGGCAAAAGCAGGCAGTGCCCCATTTCTAAAATGCCCCACACAGTTTCCCCTCATCCTGTGGCATCCATACGCTCGCCATCACTACTTCTGCGTCATGACAGAGAAGGAACAGATGAAGTGGCACGCCGTCTTTCAGGACTGTGTGAGACACACCAACAATGGTGAGTCACGGTCACAAAGAAAGACCAAAAAAAGTACTGTTTTTAGATTTGTGTCTTGTGAGCGTCTGTTTCTCTAGACGAGATCGGTCTTATTTACTTTTTTCATCTTTATCACAATCAGAGGAAACAATGGTTCACATGTTAAAGGAACACACTATTACAAGTCCCCTAAAGTGAAACGGTTATCATTTTTGGATCCATTGATGGTTTGTTGCTTAGCTGGGGACTATTTTCAATTTTTTTGATTAATATTATTGCGTCTGCCACAGCCATGGTGTAACATTTCTTGATTATAATTCTGGATTCAAAATATACTTCCTTGACCTATCGAAAATAGCAACTTATTTTTTTTCCTCCTTTTCAGTCTTAGTACAGGATGTAAATACTGAATTGGAAAAAATTAGTGAGACTCTAATGGTCTATTCTGATTCAATGGTTAATGCTAAGCTTAGCTAAAAGTGCTCCCACCAGACCCAGAGATCAGCTGAATGGGTTTAACTGTTTTGTTCAAACTGACTACCCTTTCGTTATGTTCTTTGCCGTTTTTGCCCCATTGACTTTCATTATAATGACATTTTTTGATTGCAAAGCCGTGACATCATATAATCATGCTTTCTTGATTGTTCGTGGTTTTCCCAGATGGGAAGAGGTAAAACTTGTTATTTTTACTATCAATCATCAGTTGGCACCATTAACCCTTTAGATAGGCCTGCTCAAAGTTTCTGGCTTTTATATGGAGTTCTATGGAATAAAACAAAAGATTATAGTATGTGTGCATAAATACACTTACTATGTTTTGAGAGCCGAGTTGCTTATTTGCTTGCTATTTCTATCAAGGTAAGTGTGCAAAGATCTATCTCACACACACACATGCACACACTATACCACTGGCTTGCTTGGTTGGGATTTGCGGAGCTGCGCATCACTGGATTTGCTCTTCAGTTTTCAAACTTTAAGCAGTGAAATTTAGACCACTTTAAAACACTGAACTAAACTAAACTGAACTTCAGCTCTGAAAACTGATCTGACGCAGTTTCTATTTACTAGAACTTCTATGTTAAGCTGCTTTGACACATCTACCATGTAATAAATAAACATGAATAAATACTCCATATAATATAAACCTTTATATAAGCTTTTTTTGAACTGCAACTGACGTTCAACGTTAAAAATTACAGACTGTACCTCTTCCCAACAGGGAAAACCAGCAACAATCAAGAATGCATGGTTATATTGTGTCTGGCTTTGTAATCAAAAAATGTAATTATATTGGAAGGCAATGGGGCAAAAACTACCACAAACATAACAAAAGGGTAGTAAATTTGGCCAGACTATATTGTTGAATTGTAGAAAAATGTTATAGCATTATCCCAAAATGTGTGTCAAAATAAGATTTGTCACCAAAAATCATTTCATTTGCTGAAACACAAAGACAGTTATGGTCAAATTAAGACTCAAAAATCGCCCAGAGTGGATGAAAACATCCTCAACAGCACTCATGGGGTTAAAAGTAAAAACCTCAACTTTTTAACATTACTGTAGCTGACTTGTAAAATGAGCAAAAAAAAATAAAACATTTTCTTCCAAAAAAAGTGGTTCTTAAATGTTTATTTGTTGATATTTATGTGGACCAGAGACACAATGTCCTACACTGTAAATGTTTTGCCAGATCAACTGCTTTCCTGTTCAACTTCCAAAACAACATGAAAACGAAGCCTCAGACGTTTGCTTTAATCTGTTTTGCGTCATAGCAAGAGACTATTGAACACCTAACTTCTGATTTGTCTTTAGTCGCTGTCACTCAAACATGGCCTAAAAAGAATTTCTAGATGCGTATACTTAAATCCCTGCATGCCTTCTTAAAAATTCATAGTATCATATTACCTTCAACTCCACCCTCAGAAATCACCTGTCGTTTGGCCTATTGCCATATTTGAAATCACACAGCAGGGTGTGTATGCGAGCGGAAGAAAGTGTTTGTTTTATTCAGTCAAAATGTTGAATGCCTTTGCAATGACATTAAGGTGTGGAGGATGTTCTTTCTGTCATTTTAACTGCTGTTGAATATGTAATAATTACTACTCCTTGTGAATGATGTCATTTTTTTAAATTTACAAATAGAATGCATTAATATTATCTTCAAGGAAATTCAAGGAGTGAAACATACATCAGTCACCATCTCAGTATTGACTAAAAATAATACATTTTCTAAATTTACTTTATTCCATAAGAATGTATTTAATCTATCAAAAATTACTAAACTCATTTTATTTCAATTATTAAAATAAACCCAAAAATACTTATTGATGTAAACTGGTTGTTGATTTAATATTTTTGTGGAAGTAATTTTATTTTCAGCTGAGTCCCTTTATTAATCTGGTGTCGCCACAGCAGAATGAACCGCCAACTTATCCAGCATGTGTTGTACGCAGCTGCAACTTGTCATTGGGAAACATCCATACACACTCATTCACATACATACACTATGGACAATTTAGCCTACCCAACTCCACACGAAACGGCAACTGACCCAGCCGAGGCTCGAACTGGCGACCTTCTTGCTTTGAGGCGAACGTGCTACCCACTGTGCCACCATGCAGCCCAGTAGTGGTAGTAGTAGTAATAATATTGGTAGTGGTGGTGGTAATAGTAGTGATAATAATAGTAGTAGTAGTAATAATAATAGTAGTGGTGGTGGTGGTGGCAGCAGTTATAATAATGGAAGTAGTGGTGGTAATAGTAGTGATAATAATAGTAGTAGTGGTGATAGTAGTAGTAATAACAGTAGTGGTGGTGGCAGCCGTTATAATAATAGAAGTAGTGGTGGTAATTGTAGTGATAATAATAGTAGTAATGTTGGTTATTGGTAGAAGTGGTGGTAGTAGTAGTATAGTACTATAGTGGTAGAAGTGGTGGTGGTAGTAGTAATAGTGGTAGAAGTGGTGGTGGTGGTGGTGGTAGTAGTAGTAGTAATAGTCAGGGCTTTACATTAACACCCGCCAAATGCAGGTAGATTTCAGCTCTGGTGGTTTAGACAGACACCTCCACTAGCCACTTTGGCTTATTGGAAATAATTTTCTAGTTGTAGTTTTTTCAAAAGCAGGGTTCGACAATATTCGTGCAAATGTGATCTTAGAATCGAGAAGCAGCAGAACTGACAAAAATAACTGTGTTCGCACGAGCAAAAGAATGCAGGTGAATACAGAAATGAGAGGATGATCACAGCTGATGTGATGCGCGCGACTGTTAAAGTGTGCGCGCTCCCGTTTACTTGCGCAAAGCAACCGTGCCTAGGGGAAGTGCAACTGGTGCGATCAGTTCCCTTTGAAATAGACTGGACAAAGAGCGATGATCGTGCACCCACACAGTGCTGCTACTTTTAAGAGCTCAAGATTAAAAAAAATAATGCACATATTCTTTTGTAAGCAGCAGCGTTCGCTGTTTTCATTTTAATTATTCTTTGAACAGATTATTAACAGGCTTAACCGTGTGCGTGGGATCCTTTCATTATCAAATATCCAATAATGTTTCACCTGCTTTCTTTTGCTTACAGTTATTTTTGTTAAAATGGTTCAATGATCTTTTTTTTTTTTTTTTTTTTTTTTTTTACAATAATATCGCTTTTATGGGAGAGTACTCCCCGCTTATGTGTAGTTAACTGGTGATCTGGGACTTTTAGCCAGGACAGATTACTGTGTATATTTTAGATACACGACAATAACTATTTTTTTAAATGTAATGTTTATTTTTTAAAGAAAAGTTTTGTGGAATTAAATAGTGCACCTATACAGCGATATTTTTCTTCTTTTGACACATTTAAAAATTGTGGCTAAGAAATACTGGTCACACTTAGAATAAGTTTCATTAGTTAATTTTAATTTGCTAACATGAACAAACAATGAACAATACATTTAGTACTGTATTTGTTAATGTTAGTTAACGCTAGTTAATGAAAATACAGTAGTTCATTGTTAGTTCATGTTAACTCGTGGTGCATTAACTAATGTTAACAAGCATGGACTTGGATGTTAATAATACATTAGTAAATGTTCAATTATGATTAATAAATGCTGTACATGTGTTGTTCATGATTAGTTCATGTTAGTAAATGCATTAACTAATGAACCTTATTGTAAAGTGTTACCGAAATACTTGTTTAGTGTGGTCAGAGATAAATTTGGTAAATCAAATCAATCACTCAATTTTTTTTTTGCCCTGAAAAGTCATGTGAAATAAAAACTGAATGCATTGCGACACAACCCATTTGCTCATGCACACTGAGCAGGCTAATACACAATACGCACAAGAAGTTAAATGCATGAGAAGGCATGTGGATATAGCACAACATCTAAATCAAGTCATTTTAGCAAGTCAAAATAAAATTTTTGCATATAAAATATATTTTCCCAACAATAAAATTGTGGCTAGTAAAAAATGACGAGTGGCTAGTAATGTTGGAAATCTACTAGCCACAGTGGCTCGTGATCAAAGAAGTTAATGTCAAGCCCTGGTAATAGTAGTAGTGGTGGAGGTGGTGGTAAAAGTGGTAATAAAAGTAATGATTTGAGTAGTAATAGTGGTGATGGTGGTAGTAGTAATAGTAGTGATAGTAGTATTGGTGGTAGTAATAGTGGTAGTAGCAGTAGTAGTAGTAGTAGTAATAGTGGTAGTGGTGGTGGTGGTAGTAGTAGTAGTAGTAGTAGTGGTGGAGGTGGTGGTAATAATAGTAGTGATTCTACTAGTAGTAGTAGTAGTAGTAGTGTTGATAGTGGTAGTAGTGGTATAAAAGACTATAGCTGCCAAAAAAAATCAAATGTTGAAAGTTTCTTAAGGCATTGCAAAACTAATAAAAATGAATTGTATTTATTAGCTGATTTAGTAACTGCAGAACTTGCAGAGCAGCATAGTTCTGTTCTGCCAAATTCTGACTGTTAACAGAACATTCTCTGATCTACCCCAGGGCATTAGAGAAGGTGCTGACATGTGGTCAGAGGCATTCT